ATTGATCAAAAAATTCAATGTTCTATTCAAGAGGACCAGATAGAGAATAATTTTTAACAAAGATATCAAGAGAAAGAAATGAATATGGAAAGAAGAGAGGAAAGCACCTGCTTCACAATAACGCTCTGAACTAAACTGTCACTTTTTCAATTAGTTATATATTAAGAGGAAATAAAGATTTATTCTGAAAATTATCTTGATTCTAAGAGCATTTCACAAACTGAGACAATCTAACATAGTTATGACATAACACAAGAAAACAGGTGTTATTATTCTCCACCACTTCTGTAACCTGGCAGCTTAAATCTCCTTCAGAATTGAATATGGACTCAAACTGCCCCTAACATGCATACATCAGGGATTTTTGCTTCCAGTAACCATGGACTAAGTAAACCAGAACAATCTTCCAGCTGAAGAGAACTAGAAAAGCAGGGAAAAGACCTAATAAACATCTGCTTGGAGGCTTGGGGGAGGAAGGCATGTGAGAGGCTCAGGACGGGAAGCTCAGTATTTGGGGCTACTCTTCCCTGGGTGTGTTTGCCAGTTCCAAAGGGCACGCTGAAAGCTTGTGCTGGGTTGGGGAGAGGTGGGGCTGGTGAAGAGCTGAACACAAGGAACAGAGCGGAACACAACAGGCTGGCTCCCACAAGGACTGCAGCTCCTCTTAGAAACGTCTCAACGCCCGAGACTCCACTGAAGTGACTCCAGATTGTAAGTGCCCCATTTGCCTGACTAAACAAATGTGAATTATCTCTGGAAGAGAAAAACAACATCTCAGGCCTCAAATCATTTCTACAAACAACTTTGCAAATATGAGGTCCAGCACACATACACACAAAACAAGCAGGCATTTAAGGAGACAATAGGAATGAAAACCAAGAGAAACAGACATTGGAAATGATTCATGAATATTGTCATAATCAGACAAACTTTAAGATAATTATAATACTATATTCAAGGAAATAAAAGACAAGATTAATAATTTTGGCAGATAACTGGAAACTATAAAAAAGACAACCAAATGGAAATTAAAGAAATCAAAAAAATATATAATAACTGAAATTAAAAACTCAATAGGTGTAACAGCAAATTATTTATAGCAGAAGAGAACAAGATGAGTGAGGAGATATCCAGAACGAAGCACAGAGAGACAAACAGAAAACACAGAAGAAAAGTTAAGAGACACAGGATATAACAAAATGATCTAATATGTATAATTGTAGTCCCAGAAAGAAAAGTGAGAGAGAATGGGCCAGAAGCAATATTTGAAGTACAAACGGCTGATGACTTGCAAAACTAATGAAAGACATGAAGCCACAGATTCAAGACGCCCTAAGCATCCCAATTACAGGCATACATCCTTTTACTGCACTTGCTTTACTGCGCTTCCCAAATAATTGTGTTTTCTACAAGACTCTCCACCAACAAAAAGACTATGACTCACTGAAGGCTGAGGTGATGGTTATCACTTTTTAGCAATAAAGTATTTTTTAACTAAGGTATGTACATTTTTTTAGACATAACACTATTGCATACTTAATAGACTACAGTATAGTGTAACTATAACTTTTATATGTACTGGGAAACTAAAAAATTCATGTGACTCGTATTGGGATATTCGCTTTTTTGTGGTGGTCTGGAATCAAATCTGCAGAATCTCTGAGGTATGCCTGTATAAGCAAAAGAAAAGACAAAAAAAACCTAGAGACAGCATAGAAAAACTGCTGAAAACCAAAGACAAAGAGAACACCTTAAAAGCAGTCAGAGAAAAAGACTACAGCCATGCGTTGCTTGATGACTGGAAGAAGTTGTAAGAAATGCATCATCAGGTAATTTCGTCACCGTCCAAGTATCACCCAGTGTACTTACACAAACCTAGATGGTAGAGGCTATTACACACCAAGGCTAGATGGCACTAGCCTTATGGGGCCACCGTCGTATAGTCAGTCCGTCGTTGACCAAAGCATCATCAGTGGAGCATGATCGTACTTTCAAAGGAACAACAGACTGACAAGCGACTTCTCAACAGAAACAATCCAAGTTAGAGATAATAAGACATCTTTAAAGTGCTAAAAGAAAACAATGGCAAACCAAGAATTCTGTAACTACCAAAAAGACCCTTCAAAAATGGAGGAAAATGTTCTAAAATTGGGTTGTGGTAATGGTTGCGTAACTCTGTGAAAATACTAAAAACCATTGACCTGTACATTTTAAATGGGTAAACTTTATGATATGCGAATTATATCTCCATAAAGTTGTTTTTAAAAAATGAAGGCTCAATAATGACATTTGCAAACAAACACTGTTAAGAATTTGTCACCAGCTAACCTGGACCAATGGAATACTAAAGGGTGTTCTTCAGCTGGAAAAACATGACTCTAAACAGAAAACTGGAAGATGACAAAGGTGGCACTGCAGAGCCTTGGGGAAAAGACCTTTTTGATAAACAGTGCTGAATAAATGGTCCTGGTAAAAATGAAATTTGACCCCTTTTTCACAAGTTATACAAAAATCAATTCCAAATGGACTATAGAGCTTAATTTGAAAGGCAAAGCAGTAAGACTTCTAGACCTTATAGGAAACTATCTTCTTGACTTTGGAAGAGAAGTCCTACAAATTAGGAAGAGAAACACAGGTAAATCCCAAAGGAAAACTGGGCAAGACATCTGCACAGGCACTTCATCAAAGAGGATCTCAAAAAACATGAAAAGATGTTCAACCTCAATAGTCAACAAGAAACTGCAATTTAAAAACACGATGGGACACCATTTTACGGTCACCAGAATGGCTAAAATTGAAGACTGACAAGACCAAGTGTTGACAAGGATGTGGAGCACAAGAACTCTCATACACTTGCTGGGAGAAGTGTACTCTGGTACAAACACTTCGGAAACTTGGCATTATCGACTAAGGCTGAAGATATGCATGTCTTTTGACCTAGAAATGCCACTGCTCGGTATCTTCCCAACAGAAAGGAATGCACCAGGAGACATAAGAATACTCATAACAGCGTTATTATTAATAGCCAAAAGCCAGAAACAACTCAAACGTCTACGGGACCGTGGACTGGATAAACCGTGGATATTCATACTACAGACCAATAAAAATGAACAGTTAGAACAGACCGGATGACCCTCAAAGCCGCTTGAGTGAAAGATGCCAGACACAAAAGAATATATATCGTATTATTTCATTTATGTAAACTTCCATAATCAGGCAAAATGAAACTACAGACCCTTAAGTTTTTATGGGATATGTGTTTAGAAGGTTAAATTACAGAAAAAAAAGGCACGGAAACGATTATTCCCCCAAAAGTCAGGATGGGGCTACCTCGGGCGAAGGAACTCCGGGCTCCTGGGCGCTGGCAGTGTTTTATTTCCTGACCGGAGGACCAGCAGATACCTCCCGCCCCGGGGTGGGCGATAAATCAATGCGCAGTGACTTGGGGTCTTGCACTCCACGGGCGTGCAAGAAGAAAAGAAAAGGGGCCGGGAAGGGGAGCGGCTCCGGGTGGAAGGAAACTCCCGCCGCGCGGAAGGCGAAAGCGGGCTCCGAGCCCCGGCCGACGGGGAGCCCGGGAGGGAGGGCGAGGGGCTTCGCGCCGGACCCCCCGCGGCTGGAAGGCACCGAGCGCCGCCCCCGCAGCTTGGGCCACCGCGCGGCCGGACGCCGCCACTGATGCCCGCGGGGGTCGGACTCCCCCGCCGCAGACCCCCGCCCCCGCCGAGCGCCTCCCGCCGGGGGCAAAGGCCGCCCCCGCGCGGCTCCGGAACGCCGCCCACCCGGCCGCGGCCCTCCCGGCGCCCCCGAGCCCCCAGACGCCGTCCCGCGCGGCGCCCGCCGACTCACCTCATTGTCGCTGCCGGGGCGGGCGCGCGGGGCCGGGGGCGCGGCGCGGGCGTTAGCGGGGGAGCCGGCCCCGCGCGCGGCGGCTCCGCGTCTCGCTGGGCTGCGGCGGGCGGCGGGGGCTCATCTTCTCGGGGCGGGCGTCGGGGCCGCTAGCTGCGGGGACGGCCGGCGGCGGCGGCGGCGCCTGACAGCTGGGCCCCGGCCCCTGCCATCTTGGCGGGCGCGTGCCCGGGCCGGCGTGTGCGCGCGCCGCCGGAGGGCGGGGAGGGGGCGAGCGCCGCCGGGGCCCGGCCCGCCGTGGGTGGGGGGAGCGCGCGCCCTCCCGAGACTGGGGGCGGTGGCCCCCGGGCGGGCGCGGGCGGCTCCGGGTCCGCCGAGGGCGGGACCGGAGGGTGCGCGCAGGGGAGCTCAGCCCGCGGGCCGAGACTGAGGCGGTGCGTCCTCCGCCCGCTGAGGGGAGTGGGCGCGCGCGCGTCCCTCCGCCCGCGGCGGCTGAGGGGAGAACGCGCGCGGCGGTCCGAGCCAGACACAAAAGGCGCGGGGCCCCACAGCCCGCGCCTCCGGGAGAGGGGCGCCAGCGGCTGCGGGGGCGGGGCGGGCCGCGAGGGGCGGGGCTTCGGAGGACGGGCGAGCGGTGAGGGGTGGGGCCGTGGGTGGGGCGGGGTCTAAAGGGGCGGGGCGTCGGGTCGGCACGTGGAGCGCTGCGCCCCCTGCCCGCTCGGGTCGCCCCACGCACTCACAAAGGCTGCTTAGTGCGCCGGCGTCCTTGTGCAGTGGCCCGAAGATCCCCATTTCCCCGCCCTGCTGTGTGCTCCGCCTGCTCGGACGCAGCGGGCCACCCGATCCGAGGGGCGTCGGGGTCACCAACGGCTGACCCTTCTTTTTGTAAATAAAGAGCCAAGGCTGGGATCTGGAGTCGCAGCTTTTTGATAGTACCTGAAGGTCCTTCCCCAGCCCAACAAGGGCCGCCTCTGGCGCCCCAAAACCGCATCTTGTGAAAAATCACAGTGACAACACTAGGTCGTCCAGCTGTCTCTGCTTGTTAAACCCCCATCCTTCCTAAAGCAGACACACAGTTCATTGTGTTTTCTCAGTGTCACCGCTAATGCTCCTTTTCACTCTATCACAGCAACGTTGAAATCACATCTACCTCTTAAACAATTGGGTCTGAACAAGAGCGTATCAAGCGTTTGGCGGTGTCTGGCGTAGAGCAGGAGGGCAGTGGAGGGCGGCTGTTTTACTCCTGGCCCCGACTGAGAAGAGGCTTTGTGAGTTACGTGGTTTTGCCCAAAATACAGGAAGTGGTGGAGCCAGTTCTCATGCCAGGGGTTTTCTGACTCAGAATCCCAGCGCCTTCCATTCGAGTTTGCTGCAGTGGAACATCATCCTCACCGATTGCAGGTTGGGTCTCTGCCGGTTTATCCCCCTGCCTGTCCCCTCTCCCCTCCCTCACCATCCACTTGTCATCAGAGATGCTCAGAGACTGGTTGTCACATTTCCACTTTCTATCCGCTGTTTGAGCAGGAGTCTTCAAACAAAAGGGCACCTTGGTCCCCTGTAGTCCTGTTAACAGCTCCAGAGGGTTTCAGCCCCTCCTAACCTTATTTGTCCTCTATTCCCAGGGTCAAGATTGGCTCTGCTACAGAAGAGACTTGTTATTCCCTGAAAATTACTGAAATAGACAAGCCCCAGGCCACTTGGAGACGTCCAGGTGTGCTCTGCAGAGGCAGTGTTACCCCCCGGTCGGTGCATATCTGACTATCCGAAGAGCCCCAGGGCTATTGGCCTGTTTGTTCTCAGCCTGGTTTATGGAAGCATGTGGCCCACTCTGAACTCCAGATTGGGCACTTTCTCTGCTGCCTTGGAGTCTGACAAGGTGTTAGTCTTGTAACTGGAAGAAGGTTCGTGGGGAAATATAAAGGTGACGGCCACATACCCGCTACCAACCTTTCCTGCTAACCACCAATCCCCTAGAACAACAAGGACATTCGAGTTCCTTTGAGGAGGATCAGAGAATACAGATGCTGGAAAGGATCTGCAAATCCTTCTCTAGGTAAAGGGTAGGGGCATGGAACATTGAGAAAGGGAAAGTGGCTTAACATCAGCCAGGGAATTCATGACATCAACTGTGTCCGGCTCCGGGAGAGGTCGTTTCTTGCATCCGATGTTTGTTCCTCAGAGGGCTTCATGAGCAGCGAGAGGGGCTGAGAGGGACAGGTAGGGGCTACTTGTGCCCTAAAACTAAGCCCTGCTTCTCCAGGAATGGGCCCTGGTCTTTGTCTAACAGCTCAAGGATGCTTGGGAAAGGCAGAGCTGCACGTTTTAACCCAGCAGCCCTGACCTCTCTGAGCCTCCATTTCTCACCCACAGGCGGGACTCCTGAATCCGTGTTCGTGCACTGCTGAGGATCAACACAGAGGAGACTCCTGAGAAAGAGCCTGTCTGCCCTTCTCCAGTGCTCGTGCTCTCGCCTCTCCTCCCCTTTCCCTTCACCGTGCATCTTTTTTTTTTTTTTTTTTGAGGAAGATTAGCCCTGAGCTAACATCTGCCGCCAATCCTCCTCTTTTTGCTGAGGAAGACTGGTCCTGAGCTAACATCGTGCCCATCTTCCTCTACTTTATATGTGGGACGCCTACCACAGCATGGCTTGCCAAGCGGTGCCATGTCCACACCTGGGATCCGGGCTGGTGAACCCGGGGCTGCCGAAGCAGAACGTGCACACTTAACTGCTGCGCCATCGGGCCGGCCCCCTGCTGTGCATCTTTTGAAACCAGTCTATTTAGCATGTTTCCCATCTAGTGAATAAAGACTGCATTCCTTAAAAGTACATAAATTCACATTTTCCATTCTTCTGATAAAAAGAAAATTAACATTTTTTGAACCTGTGACCCTCAAATGATTTGTTTCAGGAGGTTACCATTCCTTGGATTCGAAAAGATTGCTCCCTGAGCTCAGTGACTGTGACACCTGGTGTGTGTGGGTGTGGGACCGGTGGCCACGCTGACTACCCTGGGCCAGCTCCGAGGCCCTCCTGGACTGGATTTCTCACTTGTGGGGGAGGCAGGAAAGATGGAGTTTCTGCTGTCTGTTGAGCCCAGGCTAGTCGTCGAGCCACAGACATGTAAGAGAGCTAGGAAGTTCTCAAGGGCGTCTTGTCTAAACTCCTTGTCCAGAGGGTGAAACTGAGGCCCGGAGAGGTCACAAAGGTGAGTGGATGAAAAGCTGGATGAACACGCGTTTCTGCAGACTCCACATCCCAGGACCATTCGTGTTCCCCCAGGTTCCCTCCCTGTTTCTTGACATTTTTCCAGCCCGGGGTTACTGCTGGGGAACCAGCCTCATGGACCATCTCCTCCATTACTGGGCTTTGCCAAAACAAACCTGACTCACCACAAATCATCAAAAGAAACACAGTTGCTTTTGATGATTCACCAATGAGACCATGTCTGGTTTATATTAACCAGCATAAGTAAATTACTAATGCATGCCAGAAACATAGTGAGGACAACAGATGTCTCAGGGGACTCTGGGACCACCCGTGACCCTGCACCCCTTTTTTGACAATCCTCACTCACACCATTAATCTCACTGACCAATTCAGTTATTACCAACAGCTGTTTTCCTTAAATACCCCACATTTTGTTTTCATTCATTCATTCAGTTTTAGTGGAGCGCCTACACATCTCTGCCTCTTCTCATGCCCAGCCCACTGCCTCTGACTGCCTGACAAATCATCTTCGATCCCCACCCATGTGTCACCTCTTCCCTGGAACCCTCCGCACCCCCATCCCACATGGCTGCAGGTGCCATTCTCCCCACTGCTTCAGGGCTTTGAGCTCAGCCCCATCATACCCTAGCCATCCCATATTGAGGTGCTCTTCTTCCTAGCTGGCTCCCCCACTAGACTGTGAACTTCATGAGGGCAGCAATCATGTCTTATTCTGCCTGGTCTCCGTGCTCATTACAGCACAGAGCTGAAGAGACCCTGCTGAAGCGTGGTCCTATCCAAACAACGCCTGCAGGGGCGGGGACCAGCCGGTGTGCTCCAGCATTACATTTTGGAAACCAAACCTGGGCAAATAAAGTTAAAAATCGGTAAAGTATTTGAACTGCCATTGCTGAGCCCTGCATTTCAATTTCCTGCTGGTATTCTGATTCTGTCTGGCAGGAAATGTAAATTGCTCTGACCCATTTAGCCTTCCACACACTTGAAGATGATTCACAGCTGGAGCTTCTCCTTTACTCCACCTGTTGGCTCCTCGCTCAAAAAGCAACTCTCCTTAAGATTATGTTTCACTGGCTTTGAACGCTCAGGAAGGGGTGACTTGGGAGAGGGGCCTGTGGGGGTCACATTGGGGATGACTCCAGCTTCCCGCTGGGGTAACTGAAGACCTGGACCAATCGAGGGGAAGCTTAGCCAGATTTGGGTGGGGGAGGACTTTGGTACCCATCCAGCAGAGGGCAACTTCTTAGTGCCACTGATTGCAATGGGAGAAGGAGGATTGAAGACCCAGGCTGAGCAGGCCTGCCTTTCTGGAAGAGCCTGCATCCCAGGCTCTTGAGTGTTCCCACTTAATGGGACCTTAATGTCCCCACTTAATTAATTAAGAAAAGTAAGCCATGTGAATACCTCGGGCCAGCTCAGCCAGCAATCCTAGAGAGAGCTGCTGATCCCACAGGAGCCTATGCCCTTTCCCATGAGCCCCCAGGCCTTTGGGAACAGATGTTGCACTCAGTTAATACCTAGCCCAACCTCCCTCCCACATTCCCAGCCCCCGTTATCAGGTCCCAGCATGGGGGGCTGTTCACCATCCTCCCTCAAGAAGAAACTTCTTGGTTACTTTGTCCTCTTGGCTATCTCATGTCTGCTTTTGAGAGCCTGACAGCCAGGCCTTTGTAGGGCTGAGGGAGCTCACTCCTGCAATGGGGCTGGGGGTCCTGGGGCTCTGAATGTGTGAGCACACATTTTAGGGGACTTGGGAAGTTTGAAGGCAGCGATACCCCAACACGATGTTCTACCAAGCTGAGTAGTCAGAAGGTGGCGTGGCTAACGGAGGGAATGAAAGAGAAGTTATAAGGAGAATCAAGAAGATCTTGCACAAGAGCAATCTGAGAACAAAAAGTAATTTTGAGAATAAAAAATATGTTATTTAAAAATTTTAAAAATTTAATCAGAGGCAGTGCAAAACAGGAAACACACTGATCTAGAACTTGGGTTGGCACACTTTTCTGCAAAGGACCAGACAGTAAATATTATTGGCTTTTTGCAGGCCATTTGGTGTCTGTCATAACTACTCTACTCAGACTTGTAGCCTGAAGGCAGCCATAGACCATATGTAAATGAGTGGGTGTGACTCTGTTCTAATAAAACTTTATTTACAAAACAGGTGGCAGGATGGATTGGATGTGCAGGTTATAGTTTTGATCTGGGACCTAGAAGATCAAATGAAAAAATTACTTCACAAAGCAGAGTAGAAAGAAATAGGGGGCCGGCCTAGTGGTGTAGTGGTTAAGTTCGTGCTCTCTGCTTCCCGGGCCCAGGGTTCACCGGTTTGCATCCCATGTGTGGACCTATGCACTGCTTATCAAGCCACGCTGTGGCAGGTGTCCCACATATAAAGTAGAGGAAGATGAGCACAGATGTTAGCTCAGGGCCACTCTTCCTGAAAGAAAGAAAGAAATGGAAATTATCAGTGACAAAATGAGACACATAAGTGATAGACTCAAGAGATCTAACTTCTCAATAATGGGAGTTCCAAAAGGGATAAAAGAAGGAGAAGCCATAATTGAGGACACAATAGAGGTCTTAAGTCAAGAGAACTCATCGAAAGACTGGATGTTTCCCCCTGAGATTAGAAACAAGACAAGGTTATCTACTCTCACTGTTGCTTTTTGATGTTGTCCTGGAAGTTCCAGTCAGGGAAATTAAGCAAGAAAAAGAAAAGAAGGCATTCTCTTTGGAAAGCAAGAAGTGAAACTATCTCTATTTGCAGATGACATGACCTTGTGTATAGAAAATCCTAAGGAATCCACTAAAAAATTATTAAAACTAATAAATGAGTTCAGTAAGGTTGGAGGATGCAAATCAGTATACAAAAATCTATTGTATTTCTATACACGCTATGAACAGTCTGAAAATGAAATGAAGAAAATAATTTTATTTACAGTACCTTCAAAAAGAATAAAATATTTAGGAATAAATTTAACAAAAGAAGTTTAACACTTATACACTGAAAACTGCAAAACATCATGGAAAGAAATTAAAGAAGATCTAAATAAATGGAAAGACATGCA